ACTCAAGACAGAGGCAGAAAAGCCCAGGGTAGCAAGAAGAGGCCACAGGGCACGGATACAGGGTGAGGATGCAGAGAAAGGAGTGGGAAATGCCTACTAAGAGCACAGACTCTAAACCTTGTGGGGGTGACTAAGAGCACCCCTTTGACTTGTCTGTCCTGAGTGTGGTCTGCAATGGCTCTGTGACCTGTAGGGGTGGGCAGGGGTCTGGTCCCTATCTACACTATCCTAGAAGCAGAACCATGTGGCTGGTGCTTTCTGGGTGCTGGATGGTGCTGTTTGGCATCTGCAGGGGTCATCTCATCTCACCCAGACATGGTCTAGAAGAAGATGAGCAGCCATTATCCACTTGCCATCTGGAGTCCCCAGAGCACATCCGACAGGGTCTGTAGGAGAAAGGATGTCATTGCCAGTATCTTTTAACCATACTCCGAGATCTGGGAACCATGGTAACTTGGCCTTTGCCAGTGTGACAGTGACTCGGTCCTCCCGCCAGGAATCTTGGGCAGAGGCAGTAACTATGGACCTGAGACTACTGGTCTACCATCTCCTGTGAGCATCAGCTAAGGTCCCTGCAGTAGCCATACTGTGGTCAGGCAGCAGGGGGCAGCCTGGACAGCGGGAGAGCCTGGAGAGGGACAGGAAGGGAGTTCTGACAGAAGTCCGGTCAGCAACAGGCAGCAGGCTCCTGGTGTTGGCTGGCTTGGCGGCATCTCAGAGGCAGGACCTTTGGAAATCCTGAAGCCAGATGCTGTCTGTGAAGCGGGGTGGGGGTGAGGGGATAGTAGGTGGCCAGACTATCTGTCAAAGAGCAGGAATTGCCAAGTGGTTGAGAAGATGGGGGCAGACGGGTCTCCTTCTGACTCTTCCTCCAGTCACCTGTGGTCATCTGACAGGACAGATGCTTTTCCCCTGGAGCTTCTCCCCCGGGGACTGCAGTGGAGACGGCACCCCAGTGACAAGCAGGTGTGGAGAGCAGTGGCCTCAGATTGCCCAGCTCTGGAGCTCCAATCCTGCATGGAATTAAACCTTCCCCGTTCTCAGACCCCATCTCCAGGTATTGTTGGTCCTGTCGTAAATGAGACTGTATTTGGAGCTCTCGGCAAATCAGGGCTCAAAGAGCATTTTCTTGTTTTAATTAGGTTTATTTGATTTTAAAAGCCCAATATGTGCTTGGCGCCCTGGGGGCCTTGTGATCTGAACAGGTTATTCAAATCACTTTCTCTTCAGCTCTAAAGCAGGAGGCTAGCACCAGGCATCGCACAGGTGACCTTGGTGCTCAGATGAAGTTCACGCAGTGTCTAGCAGGAGTGTTGGCCTGCTCTGCTTTGTGTCCAGTTCCCTCTGGACCTCTTTCTGCCCATGGCTCTGCTTCTGCCCCCGTTGCCTTGGGTAGGTGGCTGATTTTGGAGCCAGTAGTATTTCCGAGGTGATTACTGCCACGGCCCAACCCGCCTGCCTGTGCTGCTACAAAGCAGAGGGGCTACAAGCCCCCATTCTCCAGGCTCTGCTGGTTCTGAGTCTGACCGTGTGGCCTCAGTGTTGGTAGGTGGCCCCTTTTTCTTGGCCACTCTAATAGGGTCTCCCTACTTCATGGGAACCCGAGGGAACCCACCCTACTTCCTGCCCCTCTCCCTGGCCATCATTCTCCTGCAGCCGCTCCTGCACTGCTAGGCTGGACCAGCACCAAGGTCTGGCAGCTCCAGCATCCAAAGCACCTGTGGCGCTTTTCGTCTGTCCTGACTTCCATGTCATAGACTCAGGGCGGGGCCTAGCACCAGAATTCAGGGTGGGCAGGACACAGCTTGCCTGTAGAGAGCCCTGGGGGAGAACAGAAATGTGCAGATAAATGGTCATAAGAAAGTGGAGAGACTAAGCCCCATCTCTCAAGATCAGACGAGCAGGAAGATCAAAAGTTCAAGGCCTATGTGGGCTCTGGGAAAAGTGAAGTTGGTACAAGGATGTGTTAGGATAATCCAGGAGGAGTTAGGAGAGAGGAGTGGGGGTGGATATGATCAAAATACATTGTGTACATCCATGAAGTTCTCAAAAGAATAAATTAAAATATAATATATTAAAAATAGGTATTTTTTCTGTCACAATTTTAAAAAAATGGAGATATAAAATCATAATATAATGATAGTTTCTTTTTCTTTTGGTTTTTCAAGACAGGGTTTCTTTGTAGCTTTGGAGCTAGCTCTGTAGACCAGGCTGGTCTTGAACTCACAGAGATCCATCTGCCTCTGCCTCCAGAGTGCTAAGATTAAAGGCATGCGCCACCACTGTCCGGCTCATAATGGTAGTTTCTTAATCAAAAAAAACTGTCTGCTTGTGCAAGTTGGTAGCAGTCTGTCTTTAAAAGAATAAAAAGGGGACTAGATGGTAGAGCGCTTGCCTCGTGTGAAGGAAATCCTAGGTCCAGTGTTAGGGAGTCTGGGTGGGGTGGGGGTGAGGGATGAAAATGAACATGAGAGATTATCTTGAGACCCTGGGAGGGGCGATCCTCAGAGGAAACCAAGCTGTTTGAACTGGGTCTTGAAGGATGCGTACGAGGCAGGGACGGGGTGACAGTTCAGACCGAGGGTCTTTGTCCGTACTGTTTCTTAGTCATTATTAACTGGAGTGACAGATGCTGTCAGAGAACAGTGCTGTGAGCCCTGAGGGGGACAGCGATGTCATGGAGATGGCCATGGTGTCAGGGACCCCCACCTTGCCTGTGTGATACAGGCTAAACATGTCTGTGGCTGCTTGCAGGGAGCATTCCTGGGACAGTGACATGTGGCAGGTGGCAGCGTCACTGGGGAAGAAGAGAGTTGTTCTGCAGCTGCTTCTCCAGGCCTGCAGCGGTCTGGGGAATGGCTGCGCTGGCAAGGAGCCTGTTCAGAGCTGGCGTCAAAGCCATGGAAGAGGTGACTCCAAGGCACTGAGCACACACACAGCGGCTTCCGGGGTCGGCCTTCCTCCTCTCCCTTCATAGCAGCCTCCTCCCGGGAGGGTGTCTGAGTCGCTGGAATGGGGTCTCCTGCTTGTGATTGAGGCCAAGGCCTCCTTCACCATTCGCCGCTGCTGCTGAGTTCCTGCACCTCCCCGCCTCACAGCCTCATCCCTGCTTCTTCCCTCTGGCAGCTGTCCAGCCCTGGCTTCTCCCTTCCCTGCTGGGTGCCTAGCCCAAGCCTGTGCTGACAGCTCAGAGCTTTCTGCAGAGGAAAAGGGGGCATCTGGACTGGGGAGGGAGCTCTCCAAGTAGTCTGTAGGCTGTCCACCAATCACAGACTCTTGGTAGTTTTGTGTCTGGACACACTCGCGCTGCAGGAGGACTGTGGCTCACAGACACTCATGTCCTTCCCTGGGTCTGGCCAGCAGCCAGGAGCCTGTTCTCTGATAAGAGGGTATTTGGGGGGCCTCTACCCTGCTTTAAATATGGGCTCCCCACCTGAGACAGGGTCTGACATTGCAGACATGCACAGTTTGGCCTCCTATGAGGTCTTGGCCCTGGCACGGGAAAGCAAGACTGTGCACTCCCTTCAGGAGCTGGCCTGCACCTCCCAGAAGATGCTTGCACAGCCAAACTGTGGGCGTTGCACCCCCTGGGCTTGAGCAACACAGATGGCAGCTCAGACCCAAGTAAAGGGAAGGTGAGGCTGGCTGGGACAGACAGAGAACCACATAGCCGCTCTGTGAGGTCTGCTGCTTCAGTATGTAAATGGGGAAACTGAGCCCCAGAAAGTGACAGACAGGAGGAAGCTGGTGCAGACACAGTGGCTGTGGGGGACAGTAGTCCAGGGTAGGGTATGGTTCAGAGGTGGCATACGTCCCTACAGTGTGCAAGGCTCTGGGTTCCTTCTAACACAGCTAGAAACAAAACCAAAGAAGAAAACTGGGAGAGAAAAAAAAACCACCAATAACTCTTTCTTTACATTTTCCTTACAAAGGAATATTTTGAGACTGTAACTCTCACATAAATGGAAAAATGGAACAAGAAGCTACTGATAGAACACAGGCCACGCCTGCCACCCCCGCCCCTGAACAGCCCGCACCCAGTCCACAGGGTCACAGCAGCTAGGTTGTGGTGGCCAGCCTGAGACCTTGTCTCTGCCCCAGAACTGAAGCCACTGAGTCCTGCGGCTGTGGAGTATAACCGCTGGCCATGGCGGCCCGAGCCATCCGGGAGCCAATCAGATGGAGAGCTATTACTTATTTTTTCCTAGAAAAGTGAATAATACATTTTTATAAAGATTCATCTGGAAGGACTGTACCAAAAAGGAAATGGTGGTCACTCTCTGAGACATGGTGTTCTGAGAAGAGTACCTTAGGGATACAGAGGTAGATGTGAGGGGCTGGACCAGGGAGCGCTTGGCCTGGTTCAGCCTCCTCTCTCCTCGGACTCCAGATCTCTGCAGGGCAGCTCTACGGGCAGCATGCAGAGCCTTTTCCTGATGCTGTCACTGTAAGCCATACCTATGACTTCCGGGACTTCCCTGTGCCCCACCCTGGACCCCCACGTCCTCTTCTGTGGCACGGGGACAATGTTGTATCCCAGGGGCTCCCTGCCTCCCGCTTTGCAGTTAAGCGATATAATGCTACTCTCAAGCTTTCTGTGAGTCCTTGTATCTGGCTTGCACCGGTTCCCAGACACCTGTGCTCCAGACTGGCCTTGCCTCTTGGAAGGACATGTCAGGGTATCATGAACTCATTCCAGCTGACCAATGGATCAGGACCTGGGTCTTGTGCAGGAATGGAGTGGGGGCCCCTCCCAAGGAGACCAGCTGGTCTCCTCCTCGCAGAGTCCCCACAAGAGTGACCTGTCCTGCTGATGCCAAGTAGGGTGGTGGGGACTGTGTGGGAGGGGCACAGGCTTTCTTTGGTCACCGGCCAAGTGTCTGAGGCCTGGCAGGGCTAGATTCCAAGTGTCTTTGAGAGATTAATTGGTTTTCTCTCTCTCTCTCTCTCCCTCTCGCTCCCTCTCTCTATGTCTGTCTCCTGCCTTGCGTCCTCTCCAGGGGGGCTTTCTCTGTGGTCCGACGCTGTGTCAAGCTCTGTACCGGCCATGAATATGCAGCCAAGATCATTAATACCAAGAAGCTGTCAGCCAGAGGTAGGATCCAGCAGGGGCTGCCTATCGGGACTGTGGTGAGGGGACAGAGAATGCCAAGGCCTTCAAGATGGCTTTGGCTGAGTGGACGTGGGAGGAATTTTCCCTCAGCTCACAACTTTCGCTCTGCAGTTTGGGGGTTGCCATCTAATCTTTCTGGGGTCCCACGTAGCTTCTCCATCTCCGCTCTAGACCTGAAGAGACAAGTTGTCAGGCTAGTGAGGCACTGGGGGACTAGGTGGTATTTCCCTAAAGTTATGGCCAAGGAGAAGCAGTGACTCCAGGCTGTGGTGGGTGATGGCGAGCTCCTGTTGACGTCTCGCTGCTGGTGAAGTACCATCCCGGTGCATCTTGGGTATCCAGATGGTTTCTTAACTGAGTCTTCTGAGCTGAGTACGGCATTGTCTGCCCCAGGGAGGCCTCTGCAGGTGTGCAGGTGTGCAAGGAGGGGTCTTACGTGGTGCTGGCCAGGCGGATCACCCAGACAGAGCCAGGGCCTGTTGCTGGTGGGGGCACACCATTTCAGGCATGTTATCAGAAGTCACTCTTGGGGCTTCCTGGGGATGGGGTACAGAGTGAGTAGGGGGGGTCCTGGCATTGCATAGGGATCTGGATAGAATCCCCAAGTGGGGTGGGCTGGAGGCCTGGTGAGGCCATGGGGGTGGCGAGTGGGTGGCTGCCAATGTGAAATGGCATTGCCACGTCACCCCTCTCTTCCCACGTCCTCCTCCTCCTGTCCTCAGACATTGCAGCCTGAGTGAGCTTCCAGACTGAAATCTGAGCTAATTGAGGGCCAAGGAACCCTGACCTCTCACCTCTCTTACCCTGAGTGGGAGATGCTTTGGGGCTGAATCAGGGCATAGGCAGGGTCTCCTCTAGTGGGCGTGTTGAGGATGTGAACCATTGTCAGTCTCCAGTTTCCAGTCTGACAATTCACAGGTCATGTAGCTGATACCACACCTACAATTTATCGACATCTGTGTAAGCATGTTTGAGCACCTGCTGTATACCAGACCATCAGGCTCTCATATGTGTTTCCTCTTGGAAGTATTCTCTGAACCTAAGATAGGGTCTTTAAGGTCTTCAAGGCCCCGGGGTGCTTCTGTATCAGCTGCTGTCTTTATCCCTATCACTGGGTAATACCTGGGGCTGCTTAGTCCCTCCCCATGGTGGACCTCCAGCCCAGAGGGCCAGGGAAGGTGATGGTATACAGGAACCTTGGCCAGAACAGGGAGCAAGTTCTCTTCTGTGCCCTAGATGGGGAGCCAGCTTTGATGGTAGAGTCTTGGGTGCCCCTTCTCCTGAGATTCCTCATGCGCTAGATGTGGGTCACCTGCTGTCAGTGGGCCCTCCCTCTGTCCTGAGCTGTGATTCAGGGTCTGGGGCTGTGAGCTGGGTTCTTCTCAGAGAGAGCCCGGGCCCTGTGTGAGATCAGTTCCCATGGTTTCCAGGCCATACCCCGGAGCCTGCACACTCCACTGCACACTCCTGGGGAGAGAGCACAAAGGAGGGTCACGATTCAAGGCACATTAGGTGTGTGTGCACACGTGTGACTTTGTCTCTGTGTGGTATGAATGCCCCACACTGATGGTAATCGTGCTGGGGTCAGCTCCCGCAGAGGGCTTGCAGTATACACTGTGCCAAAACTCGGGACACTCTGTGCTCACTGACGCGGTGTTGGCTTGCACAGAATTTTGGCCTCGCAAGGCAGGTGGACCATGGGCCTCATGAACCCAGGAGGATGCTGAGTTTTGTGGTCAGCCCCATTTCCTCTTGTCACCATCCTAGGCTGATCCGGCTTTTGCCACATTGGTGATTTGTCCCGCCTGTGTCCCTCGCTACTATGAGGGCTGCCTGGTACGCAAGGGTGTCTGGGAGACAGGTTACTTCCCATTGTTGTGTGCTGTGCTTTTTGAACAAAGACTGCTCTTCTCCCCGCTCTGTTTTGGTTCCTGGTCATGCTAGCAGACCCATGGGAGCGTTGGCCAAGCCAGTTGCTTGGTAAGAGCTGCATGAGTTATGTTCAGCAAAACCATGCTGTTTTCTCAATCAATTTAATTGCCTAAAAACCCCCATCCAGATGGATTAACTTAAGCAACTCAAGTCCCTAATGCTTCATGTCTCCTTTTGCCTCTCCACCCACCACTGAGAGGTGGTAGCCATTCCTCAGCCCTCCTTGGTCTTCACGGGGGCCCTCAGAAGCCCTGCCGATCTAGACCTTGGCCCCGTCCTAAGGAGATGCAGAGAGCTCAAGCCCCACCTGGGCTGGCGGTGGACTCTGCAGGCTGTATGACCCCACAGGGCCACTCGCTGGGCACCTTCCTTCACAGCTGGACGACTTGTGCCCCCTCTCCACCACTAACAGCCTAGCACTGTGCGGCTGGCCCCTGTTTCCTGTGACCTCATCCCCGACAGCTTTTTCCGCCCCTTTTCACATTTAATCTTACCTGGGGGCCATACAAAACCCTGATGTGTCTAGCTAGACCCCCACCCATCCTACAGATTCTCCCCGCCTGCTGGGTGGGGCTGGGATGAGTTCCTGGCAGTCAGAAAAAGTCACCCCAAAAGTTGTATTGGTGGCTGAGTATTGAGGGGTAAATAGAAATTTGTTAGGCTTGAGTAGAAAACCATCTATTTTTCCATAGACTTTGGCAACCTCCTTGGATTAATCAATCCTCTATTTACATCCTCAAAGTGCTTCACAAGTTGGGAAGATTGAGGGGAGTGGGCATCTGAACCCCCAGGTTTGGTCTGGCTTCTTTCCCATGATCCTGACCGGAGTGCCCACGAACCCTTTAGCTGTCGGGCGGCTGTTGAAATGCATTGCCAGTGTGTGGGGGCGTGGGTGTGGGAGGGGGACCCTTATCACCCTGCTCCCTGCCAGCTGGGCCGGACAGTGGGTGGTGGGGGCGGCAGCAGAGGAGGTGGGTCTGAACTTACAAACATCTGTAAACACCACCCCCACACCGCCTTCCCCAGTACTCTCACTAGGGCTATTCTGCTTTGGTCTGCTCTCAGAAGGCAGGCTGGGTCTCTTCACTGCCCAGCCCCAGCCTTTTCTTGAGTAATTTTTTTTTTTTTGAGACAGGGTTTCCCTGTGTGTCTTTGGAACCTGTCCTGGACCTCGCTCTGGCCTCGAACTCACAGAGACACGCCTGCCTCTGCCTCCCGAGCGCTGGGATTAAAGGCGTGCCCCACCCGACGAGCATTTTTTTTTTTCACGATAAACTTTTAACACAAAACTTTCTCTCAAGTATCAACTCTTGGCGGCTCTTGCGTGTGTGTGCCCCAGCCCCCAGACTGCTCAGCATCCTGCACGGGATGCTTTAGCATCTATCCTCAGCAGAAGAGGCAGTGCCGCACTTCCTTGACGTCATCGGATGCTCAGAACTTCTGCCATGTGCTCGGGTGCAGCAGGATGGCAGTGGGATCGTGTAGTTGGGTCATCATTGCCGTTCAGCCCCTTCCAGGCAGAATCTCTGAGTGGTTGCCCAGGGACTCATTCCCAGCCCCCCCAAAAGGCGGGGAGAATCTGTAGGATGAGTGGGGGTCTAGCTAGACACATCAGGGTTTTGTATGGGCCCCCAGGTAAGATTAAATGTAAAAAGGGTCAGAAAAGGCTGTCAGGGATGAGGTCACAGAAAGCAGGGGCCAGCAACACAGTACTAGGCTGTTAGTGGTGGGGAGGGGGCACAAGTCGTCCAGCTGTGAAGGAAGGTGCCCAGCGAGTGGCCCCGTGGGGTCATACAGCCCAGGTGGAGCCTGAGCTCTCTGCACCTCTTTGGGCTGGGGCCATTTCCGGGTCTGGGTCTGCCTTGTCACATCTGCTGGACCCAAGATGGCTTTCTGTTTGACCCTAACAAACTTCTACTTAACCCACAATACTCAGCCAGTGCAACTTTTGCAGTGACTCCCAGGAACTCATCACTGTGGTATGGCCCTAGAATCTTAGCCAAGAGGGAGGCCTACAAGGAAGCTGACCCTACCGACCCTGGATCAAACTCGAGTCTGAGCAATAACCCGGAGCTGGCCTTGACTTGGCTGCGTGGGCTTTGCCTGTTTCCCTCCCGTGTCCACAGTCGGCCTCAGGAGGATGGTGGTGATGGTACTAGGAGGCCAGTGGTGCCCGGGAGATGGCGCTGCGGAGGCTCCTGCCAGGCTTTGGTTGACAGAGCCCTGCCTCACCACTCACCTTTGTCTGAATTTCTCTGTCCTGTGTCCCCGCTGTCCCGACTGCCTTCCCATAGGTCCCCATTCTTAGCCTTAGCCTCCTGCACCCTTTGGAAGAGGTGAGGGAGAAGGTGTCAGGTGAGCTGCCAGCTTCAAGGTGGGTGACTCCTCGGAGGGGGTGCCTGGCATCAGTTCTGTGCTGTATCCTCCCCGCACTTCAGTTTTCCCAGGTGAAAATGGAGATAGAGCTGCCTACTCAGACAAACGTGCTGGAAGCATGAGTGTAGCCGTGCCTGCAGCCCCTTCCCCACGGCTCCTTCTGGCCAGATAGCAGTGGCGTCCTGACTCTCAGGACTTTACATGGACACTCTTGTCCTCTGTGCACTCAACGCTCTGGCGCCACTGGCTCACCTTGCAGCCTCCCAGCTCCGAGCTGAGAATATTACAGAACCGTACTCTCCACGTGTCCAGCTCTCCCTGGGGTCTCTGCCCAACTGTCCCAGTACCCTCCTTCCTATATACTGGGTTCAGACTTCTTAAAGTAGGGAGAAAGACACCCCAAAACACTGGGGGATTTCTAGACACCTGCCTGCCACCTTCATTTACACTTGTTATTCAAGTTCGGTGAAAAGATGGGACCTCACTTTTCCTCAGATAACCCCAGGAATCTGGGAGCACTGTGGTCCCCATATCCAGTGCACCCAGAGGGAGGTGGCTCTGGTCCTTGAAGCTGTTGGGAGGAAGAAGCTGGTACTGAATGAAGAGTAGACAAGGCCTCCCAGAAAATGACAGAATTCACAGTTACACACGCACACACGCACGCACACGCACGC